AATTAGAAAAAATACCAAAAATAAGAATAATTTTGCTTGGAAATTGAACTCCATGAATATGACCAGAGTAAGGTTAAAACATTTTTGCCTTTATAATTTCATAAAGGTGTGTATTCGCACAATTAAAAGGTCTTACCAAAATAGAATACATTGTATTCTATTTTGGTAAGACCTTTTAATTGTGCGAATACACACCTTTATGAAATTATAAAGGCAAAAATGTTGTCACTTATTTAGTTACATTTGATGTTTTTAACCTTACTCTGGTCATATTCATGGAGTTCAATTTCCAAGCAAAATTATTCTTATTTTTGGTATTTTTTCTAATTATTTTTTATTACTATCATCATTATATACATTTTACATTTTGATTTAGGGAATTTTCTTTTTTTGTTATAAAAGGTATTGCTTGTATATTATTATTTAAACAAGAATTAAAACAAATGTTTTTAGAATTGTGAATGTTGACTGCCCTCTAGTGGTCATAACGGGGAGCTGCAATAATACATCATTAAAATCCCAGTGCTGGCGATGCTATCATCAAAAGTAACGTCAGAAACATCAGTATTAATGATCGCTGAAACAGCAACGATACTTATTAATAACAGCTGTCTGATATTTAGTGCATGTGACTTTATGTTATGTGGTTTTCATTGACAGCTGCAGTGTGAAGCCTCTGCTCTTCAGTGACCGCAGCTGATGCTCTCTGCAGGATGCTGCTCTTCAAATAACAATCAAAGGCAAGACATCCGAATCGCGGTGGAGACATACGAAAAACGTCTCCATTATTTTCGGTTCCCCAAGGAAAACGACTGGCCAAACTGAAGGCTGTGTTATCTCTGCTGGGATGTCGTTGTCTGAAAGTGCTGCGTCATGTAAAGGTATGTCGATTACTTCTGTTATCATGCTGAGTTGGAGATCAGTGCATCATTGTGCCATTACACTGTAGAGAAGGAGAGAACAAATCAAGAGAATGTGTTTAAAGACTGGTAAATGGATATATTTTTTAAATATATTGAGTCAAAACATTGATTTATTAAGTAGCCTAAGTATCTGTATAGGATAATGTGCAGCAAGAAGGTCATTAATGAGAAAATATCTCAGACAGGGTGAGCAGGGAGCTGCACATCAACCATACAGAGGACATGTTATGCTAGTTTTCAGGTTCATATTATATTTAGTGTCTCTATTTTAAAGAGTCCTCTCCTGCTGATGTTCAGGTGTATATCAGTATTTAGTGTCTCTACTTTAAAGAGTCCTCTCCCGCTGATGTTCAGGTGTATATTTAGTGTCTCTACTTTAAAGAGTCCTCTCCCGCTGATGTTCAGGTGTATATCAGTATTTAGTGTCTCTACTTTAAAGAGTCCTCTCCCGCTGATGTTCAGGTGTATATCAGTATGTCGTGTCTCTACTTTAAAGAGTCCTCTCCTGCTGATGTTCAGGTGTATATTAGTAGTGTCTCTACTTTAAAGAGTCCTCTCCTGCTGATGTTCAGGTGTATATCAGTATGTAGTGTCTCTACTTTAAAGAGTCCTCTCCTGCTGATGTTCAGGTGTATATCAGTATGTAGTGTCTCTACTGGGACATGTCTCCATGCTTTAATGTTCAAAAAGCTCTTTATTTTTCTCATTTATTTTTGTGCTGCAGCACCTCTTTTCACCCTCTGTCTGAAACCAGAGCCCAGTCTGCTCTGATTGGTTAGCTGGCTGTTGTGATTGGTCAACCGCTTAGAGATGTCCCGCCCCTTAGCCTATAACGTACAATGTGTTTAAGTGCTAGCCAATAGAAACACTAGTGTTACAGGGTGATGTCACTATGTTCCAGAAGTAAACAAAGGGGTCTAATGGAGGCGTTTCAGGCAGGGGGGAGAAACTCCCATTGGAGGGAACAGGGATTGTAGCCTTTACCGAATTTACATACGACGACAAAAACCTAAATACAACACAACTACAGGAAAATGGAACCCAAAACCATGATAGGTTCTCTTTATTTGAAGATATCCTCTCATGACTGTTTCTTTTTGCCACAGTGAGTGAAGAACCCCCCCCTTCACCCCCTCCTGACCCCCTGAGGCTGGTTCTGCTGGGACGGACCGGAACAGGCCGGAGCTCCTCTGGAAACACCATCCTGGGCCGGACCGCCTTCTGCGTCAACGTGTCCCCCTCCTCCGTCACAACACACTGCACCACACACACAGGGGCGGTGCTCGGGAGGAGGGTCTCTGTGGTGGACACCCCGGGCTTCCTGCACACACACCTGTCCCCTGAAGAGGTCATGAAGGAGGTGGGACGATCCGTGGCGATGTCTTCTCCGGGGCCTCATGCCTTCCTGGTGACCCTACATGTAAAGTTCAATATACATACAAAAATCTCACTCGTCACCGGCTTGAGCTTCAACCTCAGGATCCATGTATCTCTGATCCTCTCCAGAATGGAAGTAGTCATCACATACAGAGCATCAACTAGTTCCTGAACAGTGTCCTGCACATGCTGATATCCAAGAGAGGGAGTTACATCTCAAAATGCTGTATTTTTTCTCAAAATCCTGTCTTTTATCTAAAAATAAAAAAAATCTGTATTTTTTTCAAAAAAAATCTGTATTTTGTATTTTTTCAAAAAAATCTGTATTTTTTCTAAAAAATCCTGACTTTTTTTCTAAAAATCTCAAAATTCTGTCTTTTCTAAAAAAAAAACTGACTTTTTACTCAAAATCTCAATGTTTGTATTTTTTCTCAAAAGTCCTTTTCGAAATACTTCAAAACGTTAATAATCCCTGGTCACCGGTTTGAGCT